TCTTAATTGGGAGTTATTCACGAGCTACACAATTTCAAAGTTCAAACAACTCTTCAATGATCTGAACAGATCAATCCTAGCAATACTAATCTTAGAAACCAGAGATGTATAAGCTTCATGAGGTTGCACTGTCTTCATCATCATCTCCATCACCTTCAAAGTCCTTTGATTGGTCAGTGTTGTCTGACTTCTTAGATGTCAAATGGCCTCCGGTCATAGGATCTATTGGATGGGTGTCTCATGGCCCTCCTTTGCTTCCCATTGCCAGCATCGGTGGCGGGGGTAGCAACCCTGCTCTGAAAAGTAGGCGTTGGACAGAGTTCGAAGGTTAGGCACCATCTGATAACCAATATCTGTAGAAAGAGGGAAAACATCACAGCGGAATTAAAAAGGAGAACAAGGGAAAACAACTTTTGGAGTAATTAGAGTTTTGCTTGAAATTAAATTCAACTGAGATCTAGGTATCACACTTGAAAATCCATATAATTACTTGAATCGAGCATTAGATTAAATAGCTACTAAAGGAATCAGTGTTGGAGTTAATGGTTCATTAGCTAGTCATTCAAGAATTGGTCATTGAGGGGCTTTGAAGAGTGAAAAACTCAGTATGGTTGGCAATTAAGTGGTTGTGAGGTTATTCTTACTTCAGCCCATGAAAGGGTACAATGGAACTGGAGCACCAAATAGCAGTTAGAAAGACTCTCTCTCTCTCTCTCTCTATATATATATATAAATATGCTCAATACATTGCATAAAGCCTTGTCCTTGCAAATTGAAAGTAAAATTCCATTCTTACAAAGAAATAAGAAAGAATTGAAGTAGAAACTGAGAAAAATTCTTCTGCGAATGTCAATAACACGCATAGATACTATGTTATACTGGTGGTGCACACGATCCTCTAAACAGGAGAGGATCCAAGTTCTTATCCAAGGAATGCAATATCATATTTATGAAAACTTAGAATATGATATACTCCATTTATTAATCTAAATATCAAATGAAGTGCAATGTTAAGAGACTTGTTTGGAATGCTAATATCATTTCCCAAAGTCAAACTACAAAAGCAAAAATTTATGATTCCCGATTTATACATGTTCATTTTTTGGTAGTGGTTATATATATATATTAATATGTAATAGTGGTGAAGTTACAAACTTACAATACATTTAAAGACATCAGAGTGTTAGAACAGACATGATTGATCCTAATGTTACTTGAGAGTTAAATTTCATATTATAAAATACTAATCTATATTGGACATACATGTTCTCTCTCCTACTGTGAACCTTTTAAGGTAGCAGGCAACAGCAAAATCTTGTGCCAAGTCTATTTAACATGTTCATGCACAAAACAGGGCATTCAAGAAAAATCATTGTGACAATTGCAGTAATCAGAAAAATGCTGTTTTAAGGTTCTCAGACCAAAAAATAGTGGATACTTGGTGGTTTTACCGGCAAAAAAACACACCCTAGAGAGATGTTTCAGTCTCAACCCTAACTATTGACATAAGATGACCTTTCCACACAATCATCTCAAATTAGATTGACCTACTTCACCATATTTGAGAAATTTCAATATCTTATCTTTCAACATAACACAATTTCTCTTTATTTCACTAAATCCAGATATATAAAAACCCTTGTCAGAAAAATAGAAAGAAGAGTTTAAGCAGATCCACAGAAAAAGAATAGTAAGTGTAAGGCATGAAACAACTTAAGGCTGAGAAAAAAGAAGCTTAAATCTCAGGACAATCTAATATGCATATACCTGGATCAGGCAACAAATACATCAAATGCAGCTCAACATTCAACTGATCAAGAAAGAAATGGAATTTATACTGCACATTAAAACAGTATCAGATATGCATTTCACCAAATATATGAAGCAGTACATTATTCAGATACAACAATACTCGACCCTATATTACAGTAGCACATCCAAATTATTTCCAAGGAAAGACACAACAAGAACAACACACTTACATATTAGTCTCCGATATTCATATACCAACAGCTTGAAAAGAATAACAAGAAACCAAAAAACAAAGAAACGAACAAAAAAAATCTTTATACACACACACACACATATGACATATACATATATAATACAAGAATTACTAATATCTACAAAAGATGAACACACTGAGATTATCTGAGATCCATACTCCTGTCTCTTTTTTTCCTTGAACAAAATTGAAACTTTCTTCCTTAATCGTTCAGAAAATAAGCATAAAGATCTAAAGAGAAAAACAGAGACCTACATGTATAAAGAGTTAGAGAAAGACATACATACCGATACTCAAGTGAGAGACTGGGTTTTAAAACCGCGCGCGTCCAAATTAATGGCGTAGAGACGAGGCAATGCTAACTGGTAGAGAGAGAGAAAGAAAAAGTGAAAGGGGGAAAGCACAGAAGAAGCATATGGATATGAGAAGAGATATATATATATATATATATACACACACACATATATGAGGATGAGAGGGAAAGAGAAAATACAGATCTGGAGAAGAGAGAATTTACCCGGTCGGTATTAGTCGCCTTTAAGCGCCGGTCGCCGTTGATAATCGCCGGTCGTTGCAGAGGAGGATTGAGGAAAGAGAGACGATACGGCGTCGTATAGAGCAATAAGAGAGTTCTCAAAAAAAAGTAGCTGCTGCTGTATTTGAGAGTGGATTTGACGATCTCAAAATTTGAGGCCCCAAATAGGAGCTCATAGGAGAGAGCTTTTTTAACTCACCTCCCATATTTTGAATTTGAGAGTCCAAATAAGAGAGCATTGGAGTTGCTCTAATATTTTATAATTGCTATCTTCTTTAATTCTTCCAATTAAAAATGTACCGATGTATGTACCTGTGTGTGTATATGTGAGGTGGTTTGTAGAGTAGGTTCACAAGCAAGCAAACTCTAGCTAGCTTCCTGTTATTGGATCTCAGAAAAAGAATTAATATATATAATGTCAAGTAGTAGCCCTGTAAAAGATCAAATAAGGGACGATGCCGCCGCTGGTGACTCTCATCAAATAACGGACGATGCCGCTTCTGGTGACTCTCATCAAAGGGGTCGTTCAGCAACGCGTCAAACGAGAAAGCAACGTAAAAGATTTCTTATTGATGAATTGGAAGACGTAGACCCACCTGATGACGGCTCACTCGATGGTACGGCTTTTTCTGAGTATCATGCAGCAATGCATGATACTCAGCAAAAGTTTGACTGCTGCTGCTGGCCATCAAACTGTCGTCCAGATTCTGCAATGTTTCATCACCGTCGACTTCGTCAAAGTTTACCAAGTAGTACTGCATCTTATTCAGTACCTCCATGGGGAAGTTGGGGTCTAGAGGATCGGAGTACTACTACTTCACAGAGGCAGAATAGAACCGAACAGGTTAGAGCTAAAGATGACTTCATAACCATTTTTCCAACACCACAATACAGCAATAATGGAGAGGCAACCTTCGTCTCCGACTTCAAACACATGAAACCCCAAGTGTATAGAGACATCACAATGGGAAAGCATACTGATCATGAAGAAGATGCAGCAGACTACAAGCAAATTATCAGTGCCCGTGGGAACACCATTCTTCATGTTGCCTTCAGTTTAGGCCATTCCGGCCTCGTCCGCCAGATACTCAGCAGGCCCTCTAGTTCCAACCTAATCTTCAACAAAAACCCCACTGGCAACTGCTGCTGCTGCTGGCCATCAAACTGTCGTCCAGATTCTGGTTCATCATGCAAATGCACATGGTTCGCTGGATCTACTCGTCCAAGAAAATGAGGACAAGAATACTGCATTGCATCTTGCCATTAAAAATCATCACCACAAATTGGCTTTTTTCTTAGTTGGGATGAATCAAGATGCCAGCTTGTGAACTTTATGCTCAAGAGAAGACCTGCTGGTGATATGGGATTTTTCCAAGGCAAGTCACTTGTTCATGCTGCCATTCAAGGGAGGGACATAGGTAAAACAAACCCCAACTCAATTTGTAGATATTCAATGTGTTTGTTTTTTATTTTATTTATTTTATTTTTTATTATTATTTTTTCCTTCAGGATAGTAATTTTGTTAGTGTGTTCCCTCTTCCCTTTTCCTCTTGTCTGAAATATTGACTCTTTTATCATATAAAATACCAGATGTCTTAGATGCCGTAATGAGGTATGAATCCTCTAACATGCCAACAGATGTCTTACACATGGTAAAGAGATATCAAACAACTTACATTGCTACTTCTGTGGATGGAAGGCCTTCTGACTGTATTTCATTCGATGATGGAGGGAAGAAATCTTTTTGTTTTGTTCTGCATGATGAAGAAGGGAAGACTCCTCTTTCCTTTGCATCGTCCATTGGTTACCTAAAAGGTGTTCGCTCCTTCTTAGACAAAACTTTTGATGCAACATACACAAGAGACCAGGATGGGTCTTATCCCATTCACGAGGCATCCAAGAGAGGCCATGTCAAGATTATAAAAGAGTTTATCCAACGCTGCCCTGATTCATGGGAGTTGCTCGACAGAGAAGGTAAAAATATTCTTCATGTGGCTGCTGAGAGTGGGAAATGGAATGTTGTAACATACATTCTTGAGACATCCATGCTTGCCATGCTTATTAATGAATTGAAAGAGATAAAAAAAGGAGACACCCCACTGCATTTGGCAACCAAGAATGGGCATGCTCGGGTTGTGACTATCATGACATGGTACAAGGGGGTTGACTTGGAGCTTGTAAATGATGAAGGCCTAACGGCTTTGGATGTTGCAGCGAACGACGGTGAGGCAGCATCCTCATTTGAAAAGGTATGTGTTCTTAATTAATTGGAAGAACTCATTTCTTGATTTGTGTGTGTGTGTGTGTGGTAGAGAGAGAGCGCGCGTAAATTATCTCATTCATTAATCACTAATGTTTACATGGATGATCATGGCTTTCAGCGGCTGACATGGCTAGCCCTGAGATATGCTGGCGCACCACAAGCTAAGAAGCAAAGACCAAAGCGTCAACATGATGAGCCACTCAACATGGAAAGTTACAAAGACAGGGTCAACACACTGTTGGTGGTGGCAACACTAGTGGCCACTATGGCCTTTGCGGCTGGTTTCACGATGCCAGGAGGATATAACAGTTCCGATGATCCACACAAAGGCATGGCAGTTCTCCTTGAAAATCCTATGTTCCACGTCTTCCTCATAAGTAATACCATAGCTATGTATAGTTCCATCATTGTTGGCATTCTTCTCTTTTGGGCAATTTTGAATGATCTAAGATTGGGTCTTAGTTCTCTCAAATTAGCAGTACCCTTGTTGGGAATATCTCTTTTAATAGTCTCCTTGGTCTTCATGGCAGCTATTTATCTAGCAGTGAGCAACCTCACTTGGCTTTCCGCTGTTGTTCTAATCATTGGCTCTCTCTCTCTCCTCGGTCTTTCGTTACTAATTCTTCCTCTCCTCTTCCCAATTTCCTTGCACCATCGCATCTCTCGGTACATCATCCGCTATCCATTTTATCTTTTGATATTAGTAATTGAAAGAATCAGTACCAAGGAATAATCAGATGCATGCCCTCTTTCTGGCCTTTTGTGAAATGCAAAAATTTGGTTGTGTGGTCTAAGGCCTCATCCATCTGTTATGTAGTATTGGTGTTTATAATACCCCTCGGATCTGAGACATAGGTTGATCAAGCCCAAGCCCAAATCCAAGGGAAATATCAAACAATTTATATTTTAAAACGAACACAGAATATACAAATAGATTTAAGAAAATAAAATAGTAAAACTGAAAGGAATACTAATATAAAATCCTTCAGAAATTAATACTTAAAATTCAATTCTCCAAAACCTTCAAAAGTACAACTCAGGAATCCATCTAGTGGACCCCTAAATAAAAATGTCAACTAAACTGAAAAATAAAACTGAGCTAAATCATAAAGAGAAGTCCTACGTAATCCGATGAATGAGAAACTGTCCTCAACCAGCACGATCAAGCTCTAAGACTGGAACCGTCCTATACTTGAAAAGAATAAAGGAGTGGGTCAGGCACACGAACAAGTTCTAATCTAACTGCAATCCATACAGTGACCTGATACGCAGATACATCCTAGATATCTCACAATATCTATTTAGTCCATACATATATATATCCACACTAAAGGACATTCATTGGACTATAATAGGGGTCTCAACCTGAATAGAAGGCAACATGTAAAAACACATCCGAAGGTGGGCATGAGTACCTAGACCTAATAGGGTACACCTACCTACTATATCCAACTACGCATTCACTGTATATACGTACCCTAACCAATGAGCCTGAAACTCAAGCTCATCTCGTGGTACCATAACCATAAATCTAAAGTCCGTCCAAATCTAGAGTATGTCATTCAATTATTCATTGAGGAGACATACAAAACGCAGTCCAGATAGTCACTCAGCTTATTCAGCTGATATGACTTAACTACAACCAACAAATCCAGGAAGTCACTCAACTTAGTCAGTTGATCTGACTCAAACACAAATAGGATTCAATATTTTACAATCCATTCCTTTATTCTGGTAGATTAGGTTAGCGTTTTGAGCTAAACCATCCATAGTATGCTACCATCCCATACCGGTGCATACAATCCTCTATATCCATGTAAATTACAACATATAAATAATACTCAAGTAATTTACAATCCAAACCATTATCCAAATAATTGTAGAAAGATGATTAATATTCTAGCAATTTAAATCCAAACCACAATACAGCTAATTGCAGAAAAGATTTAATATTCTAACAATTAAATTCCAAAACCATTATCCAGTCCAAATCTGAAGTCCCGATAATTGCAAAATAGTGTGTGATATTACAGCAATTAAATCGAAAGTATAATCTAGTTTAAAAACCAAGTAAACTACAGAATTATGAACAGTAACTTAGCAACCAAAGTCCAAAACATGCATAGGTCAAAACTAATAAATACATAACCCAATCATGCATTTAAAATCAGTTTTATAACATATTAAATCCCATTAACTTGCTGAAATTTAATTAAGCAATTAGTCTATCTTCCATCCGTTAACAGCATAGAAGGTTCGTTAATTCTTTAGTGTTTATCCCATTCACTTAGAGGTCATCCTAAATTAATTTAAGATCATAATGACACCCTAAACCAACTTCCTAGTCCCTTTGTGAAATCCCAGAACCATCAGAACAGTTCAATCCTCGCACAGTTCAAAACAGTGCGTAAAAAAAAAACATCAGGAAGCAAATTTGAGAGAGAGCCTGCTCCAAGACTACTTTGGGAGCAGGCTCTAATCAGCCTAGAGCCGGATCCAAGGACCTTGGAGCCGGCTCTACCTTTGTGGGAGCCGGCTCTACCTTTGTGGGAGCCAGCTCCCACTTCTATGGAGCCGACTCTCACCTCCTCTGAGAGCCGTCTTCAACCTTTGCAGCTTCTGCGACCTTCTGCTTCGTCTCCGGTCGCTCCCAACCTGTCTATTTGGTTTTAAACTGTTCCTAAGAGTCCTAATTATGTCTAGTATAATCCCCATGGTATGTTTACAGCAGTGGAAATTAAATACAAAAACTACAAGTTCCACAAACTAAGCATGCTTTAAGAATACAACTGAATTCAGACATGCACGAACCATAATTTAACAGATTTCAACACATATATATTATCAATATAGTATCTAATATACATGTAAAACTCAGTTAATGATTAATTAAACCCTAGAGACTATCTAGGTGCACAGAACACAAGCCAAAGGGAAGGAGAAAGAAAAGAACTTACCTGTGATTTCAGTTTTGAAATCTTGGCATCGTGTCCACTGTTCCGGCAACACTGAACTACTGTCTATCCTCCTCTTACTTCTGCTCTTCCCTTCTCCTAGGTCCGACCTTGAAGCCTCAGTCGAATCCCACACCGAACGTACTCTGTTCTCTCAAAACCTCGCTCTGTATCTCTTTGTAGCTTTGATACGTGAATTATGCTTATGTTTTCTAAAACCCTAAACCACCGTAATGTGTATATTTATAGGCTTATAAAAATAACCCTAGTTCATGTATACTTAGAAACTAAGCCCCAATCCTAATCCCAGTCGGCCCATAAAGCAACATAAGTCTACGGCGGCTAATGTGAATCATAAAAAAAAAACCCCAACTTACGATAAGTAAAACAATTCAATAATTAAATATCCACCTAAGCATATAAAATAGACGTACAAATAATTAAATTAAAACACTTAATTCAAATAAGTCAATTAAATAAACAATTCCATTAAGTAAAACAATTAAACACTTAATCAAATAAACAAATAGGCACACAAAATGTAAGAAAATAATAATTAAAATACCGAGACTATTCTTTTAAAATTAGGGGTATTACAGTGTCCTTGTTGGTTTACTATGTTTGCATAAGCAGTTTGTGTGTGTAAGCTTGTGGTTTTTTATTTTCTTGATAACTGGTCTTTTGGAGGGATTGGTCTAATCCCTTGTACTCTGAGGGTTCACCCTCTGTTTACTAGCTACTAGTTTTTGTTAAATATTTTCTTTATGTTGTAGCGATGCCAACCGGAATGATATCTTATTAAAGTAGTTATATTTGGGCTAAAACGTTAGGCAGAATGCTTGGATATAATACATTTGATCCCACACATTAATTTTTTTTTTTTTTTTTTGACTTTTATTGACCAATTAAAAATAGTAAGTGTAAAAATTCTGCCAAACAATTCAGCAATCATTTTCATATCCATCAATATCTTAAATACATGGATGTACCATGTAATAAATGCTTTAGTAGGCTAGAAACAGATGTGTGATTAATGGTAGACAACGATGTAACTAGAGTGCAATTTCCCAATTTCCCAATTTCATGAGCTTTGGAAATCAAAAAGGTAAATAAATAAAGAGTAAAGGGCAATAAACCCCATGAACTTTACTCTCTCTCCCAAAAGAACCCCTAGATCTTTTAATTTTAAAGAAAATCCTCTAAACTATCCAAAATTTTGCAAAAAAATTTAGGGAACACTATTTCGTTTGGTTTTATTTGTGATACATGCACGTCACATATGATATATTTCAAAAATCCCATGTTTACCCTTTTAACCGTTGGTGATATATCTGTTTGGTTTTGTCTCTTATAAAGGCATGTGTGGAGAACCCCGAATCTGCAATCTGTTGGAGTCCATTGTGAACCCTAATTTCAATTCCTTTTCTTCCCTACCATAATCCCCAAGTACTACTCATTTTGTGCAACCCTTCAACACTCACAAACTAAACCTATCAATTTTGTTCACAAACCCTTACTTTTGTTCACAATCCTCAAACAATCACAAGCATATTGCTGCGATTTACAGTGAGAAAACGAAGGAGTAAAAAATCGAACATGTGTTGAAGTTGTGTTGACAATAGTAAGGTAAGTGTTGAGGATGAACTCTGGTGCTTTATTTGAGTTTCGATCTTTATTACAACTTTTGTTTTCCTCATTTTCAATAAAAAGAGTACAATGGCCGAATCGTCAATGTCTGCAAATCGTTGGGGTCCTCTTTATAATATGAAATGTAAATGTAGAAAAAAGGCTTCTATATTCATCTCATATTCCAATAATAATCCAAGGAGAATCAATTACAAATATTTAGCTAGAGTTTGCACATTCTGAAAATGGTGGAAGCCTCCTTCATCATCGCCACCACTACAAATGCAAACACCACCCCAATAGAATAATAATAATAATTAAAAAGGGTTTAATTACACAACATATAAATCTCAAGGAAAATCACACATAGGTGCTTTGCTTGCCACCCTTTGACTGCCTCCCTCCTAATTTTTACTTTGATTTCTGTCTTAGATTCAGCAACGAGGGTAATTTGGGAAATAAATAAAAAAGTGAACTAAATCTTCTTAGAATGCTTATGCTTTTTATGTGCTCTCTTTTTTTGACTACCTCATTTTGGAGATATGCTAATTCATACATACTTTATATATCTAATAACAGATTCTCAATCATCTGCTTCATTAAACAATGATTGGCTATAGGTAATTAAAGAGGAGAATTCACCTTCTTTTTAAACTATTTCATAATTAAATAATTTTTTTTCTTAAGCCAAAGTATAAATGATGAGATTCAAATTTGATGCCCATTTCATAATGGTTTAAAATCACTTCAACTTTTAAACATTCATTAGTAAATTAAATAATTAAGTTTAACTTGTAAAGTGTATAACTAATGCCATCGTCATCATCACGATCATTGTCTAAATTTTGTTTGAATGCGTCAACGACATGAAATATCTCTCTTTTTTATTACGTGTCATTTCACCTATTATATCCAACTTTGTAAAGTCATTTTTAATAATCTAATTTCATATTATGCTTCTCTTACTTCTTATTATAACTAGTCTTCCTCCTCTAATTTTTTTTTTTAATCCTCAAAAGTTACATAAAAATGTCTATGCTCTATAGAAAAGGAATTAGCGTTCGATAAAATTAGGTAACTACAATTAGTGTAATGATATTGCAGAACTTGTACTCCAGAAGAAAAGCAAACATGATTTCTTCAGGAAAAAAAAAA